TGCTTCATGGGCTCAACATGGACTTATCCCTACCATGCTCTTCATGGTAAACCAACACAGGGAGTCCTTCCCCACTGTTCAACTGCACCGCCCCGCCTTAATAAAAGGTACGAACCACACGAAAGTCAGGAAGAACCTCGAGCCGAGGACTTCCAACCTCGGATGCAGTGTTTAGAAGCGTGCAATCGCCATATTCCGACCGGCGTGACGACGTTGTTCTTGCTAGAACTGGCTTCACCTAAGCCTTGTTCATAACTTATGTACTCTTGTAGGAGAGCTAGAGGTGCGCGGGACTGGCCCTCAAGGCCTGAAGACTCAAAAGATCTTATAGGCCAAGCTTCGAACCAGGTTCGCTACGAGGGCTTGTGATCTAGACTTTGTGACACTCTTGGGTGATCCTCCACACTTGCATGGCACCACCATCCCGCCCATCACCGCTTCGGTATAGCAGTGCAACCATGATGACGGAAGTCTTACTCCCTGTGGGTTGAGAATTTGGTGTCATGAAGCTTAAACATGACAGCTTGAACTGATACTTGCTAATGGAGGATGTAGTTGCCCGATGCTATTCTCGTAGCAATTTCCCGCGCACAAGGGAGTACCGAATTCTCCATCACGGAGAAAACCTGCGGGACTGGTCCGCGCCTTTCCCTTGGATCCTGACGGTACTTACACGTATTTTCGACTGGATGCCACCATGTGGTCGTGTCGGCACTCCGCCCAGCGAGCAAGAATTGACAGCTTTCAGGACGATTACGCTTCACTTGAACTGTTTGAGAACAAGACGCACGCGTCGCCTAGTGAACACGATTGGCGCCCGCAGCATACACGTGAGTTCTTTAGGGCCTTGAGCTGATGAGGGGCATATGGCGCGTCATTTTATGAAAAGAAACATCCTTTGCCATTATCAAGCTCGAGAACGCGTAAAATCGCGTCGAGGCCGACGCCAGGTCGTTGGGGGTTTGCCACAAGGGTGATGTTACGGGTGCGTAACGCAAGTAACGTATTTGTGACATGATTAATCAAACCGCATTATCTTATCTTGTTCTAGTGTGCAGTGAGGCAGAACCTGACGGCGAGCGTGCGGTATGGAAGCCGGATCCTGCTCGCGTCCGTTCCAGATTAAAGGCTGACTTTTATTGTTAGATACTCCTCAGAGATCATAGCGATAACTTTCTGTATACTTGGATCCCCTCCGATATACAAATACTAGTAGAATGACCACCGTCTACTACGGACCAGTCATCAACCCACAGACACTGACCAGCTACCTGGCGCTCCCCAGGTGCTTGATCGCGGTCGGTCCTGATGGAAATATTTCCTGGATCGAGGACGATGTTATTGGCTCGAAGCTCCAAGAGACCATGATCCAACATGGCTTCTCGGATGGTGACTATACCCTAGTGGACCTGAAGCCTGGAGAATTCATCATGCCTGGATTTATCGATACCCACATCGTGCGCGCTTTTACCCCTTTACCCTTCATGGGTGTATCATACTCAATCATGTACCCTCTGCTTAGCACGCGTGTCAGGTGCCCAACCTTGGCGTGTACGTGTACCCGATCTCCGTGTTCGTCGCGTCTTGGCTGATGTTTTGTCTGTCAGAGGAGGGGAGTATGAACTCCTGGATTGGCTCAATAACTATACATTCCCGACCGAAGCTAGATTCAAGGACGTTCAGTACGCCGAGCGTGCCTACCCTGATATTGTGAAGCGTGTCATCAGCTGTGGTGTAAGTGGTCGCAAGACTGCTCGGTTAAAATACCCTGATCCATGACAGACCACGACGTCATGTTACTATGGCAGTTTACATCTTGAAGCTACGAAGATCTTGGCGAGCATCGTACAGCAGAAAGGTGAGATCGGGTCCTTGCAGCTCTTGAAGTTAATTAATCCTTTCGGTTCTGTTATCACAGGCCAGCGAGCGCTCGTCGGTGTATGTCTACGTTGAGCCTGTTACTGTTCAGTGACGCTGATGCCCTTCGAAGAAATGCAACATGAACTGGCACTGCCCGCCTTACTACGTCGAACCCTCCGTCGACGAATCGATCGAGACCACCTTGGCTCTCATGGAGCACATACGTGAACTACCGAAATCCGCCGCAGGCGAGGCGCTTGTCCATCCCGTTATCACCCCTCGGTTCGCGATCTCTTGCACAGAAGAGCTCCTCATCAGACTTGGCGAGCTCGCCAAGACTCTCCCGCAAGTCGTCATTCAAACACACATTTCTGAAAATCAGAAAGAGGTCGAGGAAGCCCTGCAACTCTTCCAAGCCGAGTCTTACGCTGGGATCTATGATAAATTCAATCTCCTTCGGAACAACACGGTCCTCGGGCACGCCGTCTGGCTCACTGAGGATGAGATGGAACTCATCGCCAAGAGGGGTGGGGGAGTCGCCCATTGCCCAGCGAGTAACTTCTATCTGAGCAGTGGCATGGCGAGGGTAGGGATGCTTCTAGATTACGGCGTAAAGGTAAGGCATTTCAAAGCCTCCTTAGCAATCGTCTTATTTACCGATGGTGGCCCGTAGGTCGGCCTTGGCAGTGATGTCGGCGGTGGCAACAATCCGTCCATCTTGTACGCGATACAGATGGCCAGCACAGCTTCGAAGATGGTAGCCATCCAAGCGGACTCAGATAAAGGCTGCCACAAACGACACAAACATGGAAAACACGAAAAGCACGGTCACAAACATGGCCATAGTCACAAGAAGCACTCCAATTCCGAGAAATCATCCTCGCCCTCCACAGATTCGGAGTCAGAAGCGGAAGGTCACCATAAACACCACGGTGGCTGCGACCATTCCCGCAAGGAAGGTCAGTTCACAAACAAAAAACTCGGAATCGCCACGCTTCTGTATCTCGCGACCAAGGGAGGAGCAGAAGTAGTATGTCTGCAGGACCGCATTGGGTCGTTTGAGAAAGGCAAAGCCTTCGATGCGCTTGTTGTCAGCGTTCGGGACGAGACGGGGAACCCCGCTGTTTGGGGATACAACGTTCCTCGCGATCTTGATGAGGGTCAATACGCCCAATACGCCGATTTGAGCCTGAAACAGTGGTTGGAGCGTTTCATGTTCTGTGGAGACGATCGGAACATCAGGAAGGTGATTGTTCAAGGAGCGGTCATTGGAGGACAGGAACATCAAGGATAGTTAATCAATCAAATACAATCTTGTATCGTAGTGTACAATCAGGATATATCGTCGTCTGATCATGAGGGCGGTCAGCTATACTTGGGAAATGCAACTATTCCCCTCTACCGGTGCCTTCAAACACCGGAAGCCTGAGTGATAAGATACAGGGTGCCGAGCATACATACAACAGAGGGGGCGTTAGCTAGTAATTACTTCGTCCTTGAATTGTCCAAATTCCCATTTGTAGCAGTCCTGTAACCCACCGGGGTCATTTCGTAAATATTGGATGAAAGGTAGAATGGAAGATCTACTTACAACACAATCAATCTCCTCACGCGCTGTGGGAACCTCGCGTTCTTCTCCATCCTCTCCGTCTGGCCACGGCCCGTCGAGATCCAGCACATTCAGAACAAGTTCTTTAATAACGTGCTTTCGCACGTCGACGCGCCATCCCAATCTTCCTACGGTATCATACACAATAGTTCGGCCGAGATGACAGCGTGTCTCGAGCGCGTATCCAGCCTGAGCACAAGGCGAGGCAACGCCTGTACATGCACCTTGGGGTATGGGGTCTGCGTTGTTGTATACGTGTGTTATGGGTACATGGGGCAGACCCATTGGGTGTCGAGAAGGGGGTAGTGGGAGGTGGAGTCTATGTGCGGCCATTCGCTCGCCGGGAGCTTCGAATGCAACCGCGGGAAGACCGAACGTGGATCCTAGGAGGGAAGCAAGGCTTCCACCAAGACTATGTCCAACCAGCCAGATGTTAGCAAAGGGGAACAAGAATCGCAAGTCGTTCACGAGTTTCTGTCACTAAAGTTAAATATATCATCCTTGACGGACACCTCTGCAGCACTTACAACACCATTTGAATAAAAAAGACTGTCTTGTATTAGAGCAGCGGACAGGCAGGTATCGTCGCACCGTCTGTGCAAAACAGACCATGAATAGCAGTCGCACACGGTCGAGAAGGCCCACGAAAAATCGACTCGGGCGCAACAGCAGGAGAAAAGCAGGTTATCATTTAGTTTATCCTTCTTCGAGGTGGGTCCTTGCAATGTAGTGCCCTTTATCGATAAAACAATTGTTGAATTGTCTCGGGACTGGAAGACGAAACCTCGGAACCCATCCTCATTATTGTCCCAGCCGAACGGAAAACTCTGCACAGTGAGCTACGTCAGATGAGGCTGTAATAAAAAATCCAAAGCTACCTACGGCGTTAACATTCCACGCAGGATCAAGTTCATACCAATTATCCCGGCCAGGAAGCTGGTAAGCATTCGCCGCCATTCGTCCGAGCTGAGCAAGTGTGTGTCTGTCTGTGACATCGGGTCCCAGCACTTGCGTCTCAATCCACTCCACAGGCTCGCTCTGTGCTTCGAATAGTGACCTCAATCGAGCATGCTCGACAGCTTCAGGAGACACTGGCCTGTACACGGTCATCGGGACTGCCTTAAGTGACGGCATCGGTGCAGAAGCATGGGGGTATATGTAGTCCTCCGCAATCAGGGGAATCTGCTCTCCATCTTCAGAGGGCATGTTGTATACGTGCGAGAGATCAAATTCGAGTGTCCTCGAGAGGGAGTCGGCTTGTGATGTGGATTCAGAAGGCTCTACTGCCAGTGCATTAGTGATCGACAGAAGTAGGGATAAGGCTATGATCCTGGCGAGCATATTGTGCAGATACGAGGCATTGAGGACGTAAACTTTTGCAAAGCCGCAAGCTGGGAGATTCGTAGAAATGGTTCACAAGCTACGCAGCAGAGCTGTACTTAACAGCCGAGAAAGTGTGCGCAAGGCACTGCTCCCTGACCGGCATTGAAGTACTTACTGTAATTGCTACGTAAGGCTCATTCCGCATCTATGCCCCATGGCTGAGTTGGTTACAGCGTCCGACTGTTAGGTTATTGCCTGGCGTAACTGCAAGGTGGTCCGGTGATCGGAAGGTCGTGAGTTCGAGCCTCACTGGGGCAGTATTTTTGCACATTATGACAACTGCCAAACTTCCCGCATGTCGTGCATTGTCTGAGGCTTGGTTTACGACATCTTACACCAGGGGCCATTCGTATTATAGGTATAATGTACAATACATACATCCCTCTCTAGTGGCCTCTTCATCACTTGGTCAAAACATCATCATCCACCACCAAGTTCCGCCTAGTGATCCACTCTCTAATAAATGTGCTGCTCATCTTAGTGTGCTTCAACATCTCTGCATCTTCGTGATCAAGTTTTGCAGAGTCAGCCGAAATCACATCAATAACAAAAGTTCGCAGGGTAGGGAGTGCCTTGCGCGCACGCTCCTTGTCAACTACCCACAGAGAAGTGGTTGAGTTCACGAGCTCCTATCTAGGCAAACTTGACACTCACTAGCCGCTGCACCGGATAACGTCTCCCAGCTGACGACCAGCGCTTGAATGTCCGGGTCCGTTGCGGTCGGTCCGTAGACATCTTGTATATTAACGAGGTCGTAGTCAAGGTCCGCACGGAAAAGTTGAAGGAATGATTGCGTTCTCTGCTTTCGCGTTTGCAAAGATTCTAGCACGTGGGCATTCGACTTGTTCTTCAAGAGAACGTCAACTAGTATTGGTTTAGCCAAATAAGATACCAGAAACGAGCTTCAATACCTGTCAACCCTACAATGAGCTTTCGTCCAGCGATCCACGAGGCCATACTCAGGAGGATTTTGTGGCCGGCGTGTAGGTGATCGAATGTCCCACCAAGAGCGACCACAGGGTATAGGGGCGGAAATTCACCCGCTTTTCGACTGCCCGTATGCGTGGGAGTTAGACGGACCATCATTCGCTCACCCGACGATAACGCTGTCAGAGGAAGCGCTCGGATCGACTCCGGAAGGGTCCCTAGTTCAGCATCTACAGGAGGACGTTTGTACAAATCCACAAGACTGGCAACGATAACGTACCACCTTGGACCCGAAAGCACATATCCATCCCAGTAGCTAGGTCCGCGGAGCAAATTTGTGTTGTCCCCTTTAGCAACACGCTGATATCCATCAGAACTCTCCCGTTATCCTGGGCAATTTTGGTCGCTTGGACATAAACGTAGGTCAGGAGTCTCTGAACCTCATCCCATTTTTCGGTTCTCGAGACGAGATTTTGAGGAGGAGGAGGAGGAGCATGCTGATCATATTCCGCAGACCGAGGAAGCTCGAAATACTTTGAAAATAAGATAATGACAAGCACTTCTGATGTTGCCGCGGTTGCGGAGGCAATAGCGTGTCCCAGATAATGAGGTGTGTCGAGAGAGTCGAGGGTCGCGATGAAAAGGGATTTCTTTATCTCGGCAGGATTCTGCATCAAACCCATGTCAGATACGCTGCTAACGTCGACGTGCTAAGTATACAGGATGTTTGTTGTGGTTACTAGCATGGCCTCAAGAAATCATTGGAAGGCCGAAGTGCGTGATCGTGGAGGTACATTCGCAGATCCGTGGGAATCAAATTCCTTTCCGCGATGATCAATTGGGCATCCTAATTCGGGCCTGACTTTCATTAGACATTTCTCTACCAACTCGAAGCGTGTTCATCACGCACCTCGTTTTCAGCTTGCAGGCAGCAGTGTCCGCCGGGCAGTATAGCTTGCCACCGTGTTGCACGTCCGTGGTGCCATATTGAAGTCCCTGTGAGCACCGCATTCGCAGGCACTGATCGTTCACAGGACTTCTTCGCCGAATCAGCGAACTTCGGACACAGTCTCAGTGGCATCATTCTTTGCCACTTATACCCAGCACCCGGCTCGCTCTACTTTGTAAATTCTATCGTGCTTCCCGTTTAGCACTATGGCGACTTCACAGTCTTCACTCTCCTTCTCCCCTCCACCATCATCAGTGTTGGCGGCTTCCCCACCTGCGAAGAGGCGACCTCCTCAGTTGCCACTCCCTTCATCAAACTTCAGTGCTGTACCAGTGCAGCGTTTACAGGATAGTGATGCTGCATTGAGCAGGTCAAACAGCGTAGGCCCAAAGCGAGGTCAGGCCCTCAGCATCCATGGTCGCTCATCCTCTGCAGCTGGACATCACAAGCAAGCTTCGCATCCTCAGGGACCTCGTGACCACCCCCTGTCCTCACCACCCACTATTACTACATTCCAAATTCCCCCTATTCCGAGTACTACTCATGCGGGCGGCATTCTTCCGTCTGCTTCTTTCTTCCGCCCCTCCAGACCAGTGCACTCCCGCCCATCTTCTTCTCTATCCATGACATCAAATGAGGTATTACCGACGTTCAATACAGCTCCTCCGGATCTATTTCCTCTCACTCCTATGATGCGCCACATTTCCCGGGAATCTGACCTAGGAAGTGTCGCTGATCCTGGATCGCTCCCAGAACCTGGCCGCCTCATGAGGGGTCTCAAGCACAGTCGAGAACCTTTGCTTCCTCTCAGCAGTAGGCCAAGAGGAGCGAGTGTCGGTACTCCCTCCCGACCTTCTTTGCCTCGCGATCCATCACAGAAGAGCAACAGCGGTAATCGAGTACGACGTAGCGTCGAGCGCGTATTTCGTGGGCTCAGCTTCGATTCCATTCGCAACAAGTCAAACGGGAGTCCGCACACTTCGAGGCTTTCTTCAACGGAGGAACAGTCCCACAGTGGTGCGCACCATACCGGCGATATCCCGCTTTCCACGCCGCCTTTACCACGCAAGCCGATGGTTCACCCTCTGGTGCAGATCCCGTCGAGCGGGCCATCATCGTTCTCTCCTACCCCAAATCATGTCTTCATTCCGGAGGCCCCAAAGACAAACCCTCCTCTGTCTGCTATGCCTTTGAACCCTGCAAAACGGAGATATCAGCTACATCCGTCCCGCAACCGATTCTTCTGTGGTGGGCGTCTGATGACTGGAGGCGATTCGCCGTGGGCGTTCATCGCATCGCTTACCCTCGTATGTGGAATATCGGGCGTCTGGTTTGGAACGACGTGCGTTTGGTGGTGGCATAATGAAAGCCCTGCGGTTGCGGCCGTCGGGGCGTATATGTGCCTCCTCACGGTGTCGTGCATGCTGGCCACTGTACGCTTCCATAGCTGTGTGCTGTATTACATACCTAATTTTCGTTGACTCCCTATAGGCCTTTCGTGATCCTGGAATGTTGCCGCGCGATATGGACCCCGACCCACCACTTCCTGCGATTTCACCCTCTGATGGAGGAATCAGAATGCCACTGCCGAGAGACCTCAAGGTCCGATCAGACACGTGAGTGCATTTGGCCAATCTGGCATCCTGTGGTCCTCATATCTCCATCCTAGTGTGCGTGTCAAATACTGCGCAACGTGCAAGACGTACCGGCCTCCACGGTCGAGTCACTGCAAAATGGTGAGTTCTTGTAAGTCATACAAGAAGCTCCACTCAACCTGTACAGTGTGATAACTGTGTGGAAGACTGCGATCATCATTGTCAGTGGGTGAATAATTGTGTTGGACGGCGCAATTACACCTTCTTTTTCTCATTCTTATTTTCTGCGGTGCGTGACCTGCGTCAGTGATTAGCGAGACGCGGGTGAATAAAACTCCCCCTCACAGGTCATGACTCTTTGTCTCGTAATTTGCACATCCGCTATCCATCTATATCTTCTCACTCAGAAAGGTGGCATCGATCTTCTCGATGCCTTGAACCATGGAGTAGGTAGTGCAGTAGCATTCTCATTGTCAGTCCTGGTCATATGGCCGGTGACAGCTCTGCTCGCATACCACATGAGAGTGAGTATCTCATATTTTTGGTTGAGAGATTCGCTGATTAAAACGTAAACGCAGCTACTACTTTTGAATATCACGACCATCGAACAGGTTTGGCGTATTGAGCACCGTACCCTAAAAAATTTACTGATGCGAGATATCGGTATATAGATAAGGAACCAAGCTCACAAGACGCTCGTTCCCGGTGCGGCTCCCCCCAATCCGTTTTCTTATGGTTCCTGGCGATCCAACCTTGCTGAAGTACTTTGTCGACCTGCTGGACTGTCGTGGCTGGATGCTCGGGCGTTTGCCACTGAAGACAAGCGGCGGGTGAACCCCGGTCTTGATGATGTCGGACTCGGATGGGACGACGCCGACCCGGAGAGAGGTGACGTCGAGGGGGCCGCGGAGGAGTAGGGTAGGCAGGTGGATTGACGTGATTGGCGTACTGGTTTATCATTGTCTAGTCACATATAATACAGCACTTGCAGTGCCTCGAGGGTAATGATCACTTCGGGCTGTACCTTGCGGAGTCAACTTGGCACGCGATTGTCTGGGGTCCTGTATTTTTGGGTAGGTACTTGATAAAGGGCTGTTATTAATGTTATGTTCCTCTGACTCCACCGCAACGTGCGCGAAACGACCCTTTCGAGCCTCGTGGCTTCAATTCAGGAATGCAGCTCACGCAGGCTTGCTTCTTACCGCACTTGGACTCACAGCCTCAGTGATTAAAATTTAATAGTGATGCCATGCAGCAGGCGCAACGGTGGAATGGTTAGCACGGACGTGTATCACGGTGTATGGAATGTCGCGATTAAGTTGGCGGTGGTTAGCACGTTAACGACCTGGAGAAGGATGCTGAATTTGTAGTTCGGAAAGTTAGTGTAGTATCGGCCACGAGGCTTGAAGCCGACGGGTGAAAGCCACGGTCAATGTGAAGCTGTCAGGTGGTGACGTATGAATGTTCTATGTTTGGGGGGCTGTTGTAATTCTTCTCGCTGTGAGAAGGATTTGAGAACTTAGAAGGCGCCTTGAGAAGACTTCTTGAGCATAGAGCGTGTGCGTGGTTCAACGCGCGTGCCCGTGGAGCCTTTAGTTCTTTAGTTCCGCAAGAATGATCCCAAGACATTCGAGACAGATCGTGGGCAGTACACGATTTGGATCATTCAACGCTAGCTGGTCAACTGAGTCACTATGAATGTGTATGTTTTCAGGAACTACGAGGATGGCTGATGCGGTACTTGCATAATTAAGGGGACAAGTTGCCTGCCCCCGATTTTGATCAGA